AAAAAAAAAAAAAAAAAAAAAAAAAAAAAAAAAAAAAAAGACAAAGCTCTGGGTGTCCTGGTTTGAATCAAGGAAAACAGATCGATGTCAAAAGGTTGCAGGAGACCAGAGCTAGGAAGCCAGCAAATTCCTCACAAGGCCCCTGTTGGAAAACCAAGTGCAGGACTGAGCACCTAGGGGAGAGTAAGTCCCAGCTGGGTGCTGATACCCCACTAAGCATGGCATGGATTTGGCTTAATGATTTCCAAATCATTAAAAAATGTTAAAAGCTGAGTGGTGGTGGTGCTCACTTGTAATCCCAGAACTCGGGAGGCAGAGGCAGGTGGATCTCTGTGAGTTTGAGGCCAGCCTGGTCTACAAAGCGAGGCCAGGACTACACGGAGAAACCCTGTCTTGAAAAAAACGAACCAAACCAAACCAACAATAAAACCCACCAAATGATGATGATGATAATGATGACGTAGTAACAGAAAGGAATCATTCTATAGTCAAGAAAGTAGCCAGATGGTGCAAAAGAATGTTCTGATCAGCTTTCCACATTACCTAGGGTCTGTGTTTTTATTTGTGGGTGTTCCGGCCTGAACTTCCACACACAGGAAATGTGCCCCCAGAGGTACAATGTTGCTGCAGCTAGTGGGTGTGACCCCTAGAGAAAACCTAGGCCCTTGAAGGAGTCAGCTGAAATTAAGAATCTGCCAGATGTTGGGGAGATGGCTCAGCAGTTAAAAGCACTTGCTGCTTTCCCAGAGGACTCGGGCTCAGTTCCCAGCACCTACATGGCAGATCACAACCATCTGTAACTCCAGCTCCAGGAAATCCAACACCCTCTTCCAGCCTGAGGGTACCAGGCATGTACATGGTGCATATACATGCAAGCAAAACACTCCCCATATAAGATTAAAAATAAGTAAATCTCAAAAAAACAAAAACAAAACAAAACAGCAGGTTGGAGTGTTGTCTCAGTGGTTAAGAGCACTGTCTGCTGAGTTCAAGTCCCAGAATTCACATGGTAGTTCACAACCATCTATACTGAGATCTAGTGCCCTCTTCTGCCATGCAGGTATAGAAATCTTTAAAAAAATAATAATTTTTAAAAAAAAATTAACTGTGCAGTGGTGGCACACACCTTTAATCCCAGGACTCAGGAGGCAGAGGAAGGTGAATCTCCGAGTTTGAGGCAACCCTGGTCTACAGAGAGATTCCCAGGACAGCCAGGACCTCACAGAGAAACCCTGTCTCAAACAAACAAACAAAACAAAACAAAACAAAAAAATGAACAAATGAAAAAAAATCTGTCAGATGTGAGGATTCTTCTACATTTCTGTCCTGTCAGAAACAGGACTCCTTGGCTCATTTTGCTTATCCGCAAAGTGTCCTTAGAAGGCCGAGAGGGTTTTCGACTGCATTCTGAGAAGACATACAAGGCAGTAACTCTTGGAGGGATGCCCACCCTCATCAGGTGAGTCCAAAGACTGAGGAGTCATGAGAACTGGCAGGGAAAGAGCAAACCAGGTCTGCATGCTGCTCTAAATGCAGACTGGGGAGGGGGGACTAGGACAGGAGGACTGGATGGGGGATGGACACAGTACTGTGGGAAGAGCCCTCTGAAGCTGGCTCTCACCATCATCTACTGGTGCCTGTGAAGGCAGCGCTGTATACTGTGCACATACACACGTGTGCGGATTTACAGTAGGGGGCTACTTACTGCTTGTTTGGGTTTTTGAGACAGGGTTCCACGTAAACAGGCCAGCTTCAAACCCACTAAGCAGCTGAGGCGGATGACCATGAGCCTCTAATTCTCCTACCTTTACCGCCCAAAAGATTACAGGCCTGAGCCGCCATACTTGGTTCCTGTGGTGCTGGGAATCCGACCCAGGGCTTCATGCCTGCTAGGCAAGCACTCTACCAATTAACTGACTGACACCACCAGTTCCATAGTGAAAACATGGTACCCAGACTTTGTCAGCGTGGAATCATGAATGGTGGAGTCTGAGACTTCACTGACTGACGGGGAATGGGGGGGGGGGGGGCTGGATGGTTCAGTGGTTAAGAGCACTGAGTGCTCTTCTGAGAGGACCTGAGTTCAATTCCCAGCATCCACGTGGCAGCTCACAAATGTCTATAACGCTAAGATCTGAAACCATCACACAAACAGGCGAAACACCAATGCACATAAAATAAAATTATATTAAAAAACAAAAAAACTGACCAAGACTCTCCATGGGAGAGGCAAGTGTGCATGCAGGAACATAATGATTCAATTAGTGAAAAACAAACAAGAGAAAACCCCCCGTAGAGGTAAGCCTACACAGTAAACAGGAGGGGAGCCAAATGGAATCTGGTTTTTGTAATATTTAGGTCTTAGTTTCCCTCTCTTGGTCAGAAGACTGCAGTTTTCCTAAGGGAATCACTCATCTTTTCCCTTTTGGGTCCTGGGTTTTGATAGGGTGGAATGATGGGCACATGACTGACACCTGAACTAGTGGGACAAAAGCTCTTCTTATTGCAACTGCTACTCTGTAAGAGATGAGCAGAAAATGATGGCCTGTGAGGCTGGTGTGTGTGAAAGTAAAGCAAACATGGACCAGGCTGGGGGCCTCAAAAACTGAGGCCGGGGAAGGGACCTGCTTCTCACTGCTCTCTCCGAGCTCCAGGCTTTAGCTATCACGGAGGAAGAGCGTTCTGGCGGTCACTGCCTGAGCGCTTGGATCCAGCCTTACCTGACTGAGGCGGTTCTGCAGCTCCTTCACCTGCTGCTCCACCTGTTGCTTTTCTCCCTGCAGCCGCTCCACCAGCTGCAGCTTCTCCTGGCTCCAGTGGCGCTCGCTGAGCTGCAGCTGCCTGGTGAGCTCCATGACTGCACTGTAGGACTCAGCCAGGAGGTGCTGCTGTTCTTCCCGCTCCCTCTGCAGTGCGGCCTTCCAGTCAGGGCCGGGCCTCTCACTGGCCCCCTTCCCAGCCTTCAGCTCCATCTGCAGGAAAAAGAGCCAGCTGGGTAGTGGCAGGGGACACTGGCTCCAGACCCATATACCAGGAAGGCCTTTGGGGACCTCCCATGCCTATCCTGACAACAGAGCTGTGGACCCCCTCTACATACAAGCCAGACCCTGAACCCAATGTTCTCTTCCTAAGCAAAGTGCTATTTCCTGTCCTTCAGAGAGGCTCCAAGGGAGCCTCCACATCTTCCACAGCCAGGAGGTCAGAGGCTTGGGGAGCAAGATCAGGTCTGCTGCTTAACGGCTAGGAAAGAAACCTATGCCAAGCATTTCTACAACAGGCAGAGCCCCCGGCTACCGACAACTATAAATCTATCAGTTCTTACCTGCAGCACCTATTTCCATGTGTGGGAGACATTCTTTCTCTCCACCCCCAGCCCCTTGAAAGCTAGGCCCCACCTTGTCCCCAGAGGCCCTGCATAGGGACATGTACACATGGTCACATAATACATAGGCACAGGAATGATCCAGCATGATATTTTTCTCAGCCTAGACCTCCTCATGGGGAGGCAGGAAGGAAACAGACAGCCTCAGGACTCACTGGCCCCAAGAATCTGAGAATGCTTATCCTCAAGAGGCTGGTCAGAGAGCAAGAGGTCCTGGAATGGATGGGTTTGTGAGGCAGTGAGGGGGTCTACGGGAACACTGGACAGGAGAATGAATGGTGCAGGGGCTCAGGAAAAAGCAAGGAGTCTATACACTCCGGGCAAGAAGGTAATCGTGCTCACGGGAGGTCAGAGGCTCGGGGAGCAAGATCAGATCTGCTATTTAATAGCTAGGAGAGAAACCTAACTCCTCGGGACCTGCTTCGCCATCTGGTCAGCAGAGACCATCAGGGTGTCCATCTTCCATGGCCACAGACAGCAGGAAGGCAGGCCTTCCTGGAGGAGGCCATGGGCCCAGTCTGAAGAACCATGAAGTCTGAGCATTTTCCGAGTGAGAAGCCTGCATTCCCACTCCTCAGGCCAGAATGGGGAAAGAACTTGCCCGGGGCACACAGCAGATGCTGGTCTCCCAGGGAGTCAGGCTGGGTGGCTGGAAGGTAGATCCTTATTTGAGTGAGGAACAAATGAGAGCCAGTTAGCAGGGGTCAGGGTGGGAGTCCTTATGAGGAGAGGAGAAAGCAAATGGGGATGGCAGACAGTGGAGTCGAGGCAGGGGTGTGCGGCCTATTACCAAGTGCAGGGAGCCCTGTGAGTCAAGTCCTGAGTGAATGGGTGCTGTTGACATGGGCACGGTCACGTCAAATACTCCAGGGGATCCTGGGACCCATGGAGAAACGGCAAAGCCATGTGCCCCATCAGGGTGAGGGTCGGCGGAAAATGGCAAAGCCTTCCTGTGAGTGTGGGTGGTGTTAACAGTGTGTGCGAGACTGCTCACCACAGCAGCCTCCTCCAACATTCACAGCCTGAAGACTGCTTCCCTCCAGAGTGCCCTGTCCAGATTAGCTGAACTTGTCCCCTGATACCATAATCCCTGCCTCCTCGTATTAACAACCACCTCTGCCTAATCAGCTACACAGTACACAGGCTGCGAGCCCAGATCGCCTGATCCGAGCTTTCTGTGTATCCTTGTGTCTGTCCGTCTTTTCTTCATTCTCTCCACACCTGAGTCAGGTCCATCCCAGAGCTGCGCTCTCTGTGGCACTCAGGCAGGCGTGGGAGCATTCCGTGAACCCACAGTGCACCCTGAGTTCCTGTCATTCTCTGGGGGTGTCGGGCACAAAGCGAGTGTAAGGGTCTTGTGCATCAAAGGCGCAGCTCAGCACCCTCCTCCGAGACCCCACTGTCTAGATCGGGGCTGGGAATGAAGAGGAGGAGGTCCCTGACAAGCAAGGAGGCTTACCTGCGAGGCCTGGCCCTTGAGCTCCGCCCGCTCGGTCTCCCAGGCGGCTCTGGCCTTTGCGAACTGCTGCTGGAGTTCCGTCAGGCTCCGGTGCTCGTCTTGGAGCAGCCAGCAAAGCTCCTTGAGTGTGACCTTCATGTCGGCCAGGGTCTTGATGTACTCGTTAGGCTGCACACAGAGGAAGGTCCAGTCAGGAGGCAGGAAGGGCAACCCTGGCGAGGCTGCCTCACCCGGGAAGTCTAGCCTCGGCCCTACCAGCCTGCGAGTCCTCTGCAGGTCTCCTCAGCCGTAAACTGGGGCTGAAGGCCAGTCCTGGAATGGCTGAGGCTGGCAGCAAGTCTCACACTCGGTGAATTCTATTACAGGAGTGGCTGCTCTGCCCAAGCGCAGAGAAACCACCTTCCCTAGGCTTTGCCGGCCCCAGGCTGCAGGTCTCCCCTGAGCTGACACCTCCATGGAGCCTCTCAAATGATGCCAGACTGGATTCCCCCCCCCCCCCCTTCCTGGCCCCTTAAACACTGCTCACCCACACTCCAGCTCACAGTAGAACCCTGGGAGGCTGATGGTACCGTGGGCCCCTCAGACCTGTGGCTTGATCTGACAGTTCTTACTTAACTTTGTGTGACCCTGGCCCACTATCCTTAACCTTCCCACAATGCCCCACTGGCCACGGCCACTCCAGCACACCTTGCCGCACCTCCACACAGTCCTCTTAGCTTGATATGGTCTCTTTTCCATCCTGAACTCAATAAGCCCCCTATTCATCCAAGGAATGCCATGAGTACCACCGTTCCCTATGCAACAAACTAACTGCTCTCCTTCCCGAACATGACCTCACAGTCCATGTGGCCTTCTGTCTCTACCCTCGAGTGACTGGTATATCCCCTAGCAATGAGCGACTGGTGGGCCAGATTCCAGACAATAACCATCTTCAGATCCTGTGTCCAGTCAGCACTGAGTGATCACTAATGCACGGGGTTGCACGGGGTTGCACGGGGTTGCACGGGGTAAGGCAGGACCGGAAGGGGCTGAACACACCGTGTTCTGGGTCCAGCTGTCCCCTGTGCAGGCCTTGTTATCCGAGTGCTGGGCGTTCATCTCCTCTTCCTCCATCAGCAGGTACAGTTCCTTCATGCTGTTCACCTGGTTTGAGAAACCACATTCGAAGGGCTCAGCCTCCAAAGGATGGGGACCACGACAAGCAGTCCAGATGGAAAGAGGACTGCACAGCCATGTAGGGAGGACGGGTGGCTCAGGCTGAACCAGAGCCTGCCGCTGGCTTCCCACATCTTAACTGGGACCCACCCCGCACCGTTCAGGCAAGGGAGCGGAACTCACGTCCCCCACCCCCTTCTTCCTGCTCAGGGCTACGGCTAAGCTCAGCAGTACCTCCAGAAAGTCGTCCTCCTCGCTGGGCAGAACCTTGCCCTGTCGCCAGCGCTTCAGGAACCACCGCAGCTTCATGAAGAGCAGCAGGAAGTTGTGCTTGAACTGCTGGGACTCCTGCACCAGTATGTTCTTCTCCTGGCTCCAGAATTTTTGCTCCAGCCGCCGCTGGAGGCTCAGGCTCTGCAGCTCGAACTCCCGCCTCAGCAGCGCCCTCTGCTGGTCCTCTTTTAGCTGTCGGGACAGGAGGGAGCCAGGTAGGCCCTAGTTGATTCCAGACCCAGATCAAGGATAGAGGGGAGCCTACTGGTCAGCCCTGAGTTCACTCTCCAGAACCCAAATACAAAAGCTCAGCCATGCCAAGCCTGGTCTCACAGGTGAGTCCCAGGTGCCGGGGAGGGATCCCGTCGAAATGCTGCGTCAACAGCTTGAGGAGTGACCTCGGGCTACCATGTCCTCACACTCTGAGCACCTCCTGGGCAGCAGATGTTTCCCTACGTGCTCACACGGGTCTGGGAACTGTGAAGGTTACATGGGGACTGCAGAGATGGTGAGGTGCAGAGCAGAGGCATGGGGGGGCGGTCGAGGAAGGCTGAGAAACATGAAATATCTTGGGGAACAACACTAGGTCCCGGCTGAGAGAGCCAAAGGCCTGAGGTGCGCAGCTCTGAGCGAGTCTGCTCCATCAGCATGCTTCACCAGGCGCCACCACAGCAGCTTCCTCATCAGTACAGTGGGGCCATCTCCTGAGGGCAGACTATGAAGACCGCGTGAGAGAATGTGGGCAAAGCGTGTCGTTATACACGGGCCATTCAGTAAGGTCTTTGTTTCTTGTTGTTGTTTTCAGTTCTTACTGTTTTGTATGTACATGGGGGGGGCATGTCACGGCGCCCGTGTGGTGGTCGGAGGACTAGCTCAAGTTACTTCTCTCTCACCGTGTGGGGCCTGAGGAGCAAACTCAAGTTTGTAAGGCTTGGTGGCAAGTGTCTTTACCAGCCCCAACAGTAAGGCTTAATAAATGCTCTTACAAACTGCTCTTGCAAACTGCTCCACAGCGAGGCTTGATATGGGCACCGTTTCATAGGCAGGAAACTGAGGACAAGAGATAAAACAAGGGCTAGAGAGATGGCTCAGTGGTTAAGAGCACTGAATGCTCTTCCTGAAGACTGGGGTGCACCTACATCAGGCAGATCACAGAAAATCTGATGTTTCTAGTCTCCATAGACACCTGCGCTGACATACATATATATATACACATCTACATGTAATTAAAAGCCTTTAAAAAATCATCTTTAAAATGATGAAACAGACAGGCATGGTGACCCATGCCTTTAATCCCAGCACTTGAAAGTGAGAGGCAGGTGGATTTCTTTGAGTTTGAATTAGCCCAGTCTACATATCAAGGGAACAGCCATGGCTACATAGAGAGACCCTGTCTCAGAAAAACAACCAAACAAACAAACAAAGCAAAACCCAAAGAGATTAAACAGGCCCAGCGTCACCGAGGCAAGCCAGTGCCATTATCATGTGCAGGGCACAGGGGTAGGAAAGCTTGGTTTTCTCCCACTGTTATCCCCTTCAGAGGACCCTGGCTTTTAGTAGTGTTACATTTCTTCCTATGCTGGGGACAGAACCCAGAGCCTCTCATATGCTGTCAAGTGCTCTCTACCTCAGGGGAGGAGAGGGGAGGAGAAGGGAGGGGAGGAGAGGGGAGGAGAAGGGAGGAGAGGGGAGGAGACGGGAGGGGGAGGGGAGGGGAGAGGAGGGGAGGAGGAAGGGGAAGGGAGGGGAGAGGAGAAACGTGGTACAAACCCACCTGGACCACTTTCTGGTTGAAGCTGTCAGCCTCCTCTTTCCGGAGCTGCCGCTCCTGAGACAGCTGCTCTTGCAAGCCCCGGAGGCTGTCATGGGCCTCTGCCAGGACCAGCTGAAGCTCCTTGATCTGAGGAGGGGTCAGATAAGGAGTCCGGAGAAGACACAGGCTGTGGTCAGAGAACGGCAGTAGCAGGGAATCGACAGTAAGCTGGGCCTGGCTGTCCTCTTCCGGCACAACACTGTCCTTGCCTCAGGGAGTCATGATGACAATTAAATGGAACAGTACGTGTCTAATCCTCCACAGTATAATTTTAACATTTCTCTCTTGCACATTTATTTATAATAAATGTGAAAACTGTAATTGATTCATAATTATATATGCTGTGAAAACTAAAACTGATCCACAAAGTTGTTCATAGTGTTTTTAGTTGATCAGACTTAATTAACTGATTAAATTTAATGGACTACTTATTTTTGACTCAGAAGTTCACCATTTTACAGGCTGGCCTCAAACTTCCGAGCTCAAGGCAGCCTCCTGCTTCAGCCTTCCAGGTAGCCACATGCTAGTTCATTGTTTATAATTAAAATTTTGGAAGCAATATTTTAAAAATGAGTTTTCAAATGTGTTTAATGAGTCTCTATGTATAAAGCTCCATTCAGCTCAACAATTACAGATGCTGTCTTTGTATGTTTTCATATAACAGAAACACATTAACTATCAGTGTGGTTAACTACATAATGATCTTGCCCTTCTCTGTATCTCCATGTAATAAAGCCACTTAGGGGTTTAATTGTACTTGTTTGTGGCTTACAGTGACTATGGAATAAAATCATTTTTAAAAAGTTAACCAAATTCTCCATCTTTCTGGGAAATGGTGTTTTTAAAGCATTTGGAACTATACAACGTTAACTGGTTCTTGGCCCAGCAAGATGGTTCAGCAGATAAAGGCGCGTACAGCCAAGCGCCTGGACCTGAGCTGGATGCCTGGGCCCCGCACAGTGGAAGGAGAACCAGCTCCTCAAGTTGTCCTCTGACTTACACACGATGTGCACAGTACACAAATAAATGCAAGTCCATATAAGAGACTCGGAGGAGCTGATGTCAGTTACAAAAGAGGAGGATCATGAGCTTGACCCAGTGTGGGCGACAGGGCAAGAGCCTGTCTCAAAGGGAGGGAAGTGTTCAGTCTGTGAAGGGCCATAAGCACCTGTTCTTTCCTTCTCTCCTTCCTATGAATACATGTGTGCGTGCACGTGTGCTTACGTGTGGATGCGTGTGCGCGCATGTGCGTGCATGTCCATGCGCATACATGTCCATGTGTGTGCATGTCTGTGTGACATGCATGCATGTGTGTGCACTCGTGCTGGGGACTAGACTCAAGGCCTCACATATGCCGAGCCAGTGCTTCGTCACTGAGCTGTAGCCCCAGCCCATTGCTAGGTTGTAGTTATACTCCAGATGAAATGAAGTGGTGCATGAGGCAGGAGGATCACCTGAACCTCTGAGAGTGCTTCCAGCCTGAGCAACACAGTGAGACTCCACCCCAAAAGAAAAAAAAAAGTGTTAAGTATTTCTGGTAACGGGAATGTTTATTCTAACACACTGCGCAGGAAGAGAAAGATGGAAATGGTCCCAGGCATGGCAGGTGTCCTGCTGAGGGGGAAAAATGTGGCCAATAATATGATAATTTGGCACTGTCTCTGCAATGATTTCAGGCATGTCTAGTACACCTGTTCTGTATTAAAAAATCTTGGCTGATCTGGGCAAAGTGTCATGTGCCTGTAATTTCAGCACGTGGAAGTTGGAGACAGGAGGATGGTAAATTTGAGGTAAGCATAATGTATATACTGACACCCTGGCTCAACAAACAAAAAAACTCTTTAGAGATCAGGCTACTGCCCTTGCACATCATTCGTGAACTCAGGATTGGCACAGTGTTTTGGCCGTAAGTACTCAGTAAGAATGAATGAAAGTGATTAAATGTGTAAAGGAGCTGACACAAACAAGCTTATTTCCTTCTCAGAAAAACGAGGTCTACATATCTCAGGTTGTTCCTCCTCCTCCTCCTCCTCCTCCTCCTCCTCCTCCTCCTCCTCCTCCCTCCCCTTCTCTGTATGTCTCTCGTTTCCCCATTGGGGTCAAAGCGAAGGCCTTCTGCACAGCGCCACAGCCTGGCTACCTGTCCACACACCGGTCTTCCTTCTTCCCTTCCCCTATGGCTACTAGGATGTCCAGACCACCTCACTAGAGAGCTTGGCCCTTCATTCTCCAGGGAGCTCCCCAGACTCACGGGGACAGGAAACTTCTCAAAAGATCAGAGAATCCTAGCAATTGTAGTCATTATAAATGTTGTGGTGGGAAAGCTGGGCCCATGGATATGGATGTATCTAAGGTCATAGCACCAGACCGGCAGTGTGACGTCAGGGGCCAGGGACGCTGCCCTCATCTTCACCCATAAGACCAGGCCTTAACCCTGTCAACAACCCTATGAGAGGTTCTGTTCTTATAGGGGACAGACAAACTGACAACTAAGAAAGTAAAATGACTTATCCAAGGTCTCACAGCCAGTACACCAGAGATCCACAACACGAACTCAAACAGCCTGAATGGAGAGATTACTGTCTCTCTGCTACATACCTTAGTCATTTCACGATGGCCTCAGTTCAGCATTCCCCCTGCCTCAGCATCCTGAAGCTGGGATTACAGGTAGATACCATGTCCAACTAAACTTCCTCTAACTAGATCGTGGGAGTGATTCAAATGCCCTTATTTCCTTTTTGCCCTGGCTGTCAGAAGTTTAAAACCAAACAGAATGCTCAAAACCTCTGCCATCATCCTCCAAGGACCACCCAGGCTGCTTTTGGGAGGTCCCAGCCAATCTCCTTCCACCCAACATCCTCCTTAGGCCTAGACCCACCTCAGAGGCATAGGAATCGTTATCTTCAGTTCGGTAAGGCCTGAAGTTCCGACTAGGGTCAGGCTTGGAGTCTAAGTCACCAGCACGGAAGGCCTCTCGGATCCTAGGCTCCCATTCTAGCAGGTCTCTGAAGTCAGGTGGCTAGAGGGCGGGGCACAAGCAGATGAGAGCTATGAGGAGAGGCCCAAGGAGTGCTACAAAAGGCCCCCACCAGGCCTCAGCTCCACAACAGGCTCTGTTCACATGAGATTGGGGCCCAGGCAATTCAGTCTTGCAACCCGGACCCAGCCTTTCCCAGGGTGCACTGCCACCGCCCCATGATCACTTGCTGCAAGGATGAATGACTTAGGCAAGCCAAAGCACTAATTCTGTGAATGGCTCTCACGAAAAGCCTCCTGAAGCAATTCCATCACCCTACCACCTGTGTGGGGCCTGCTCCCTCTTACTTCGGGAGGGAGACTCCACCTGGCTCTGTCCGCTAGTGTCAAGAAGCCATCTCAAGCCACAGCAGCGAAGAGCCAGCGGGAGCTGCTCTAGGGGCCGCCCAGTTCAGTGCAGTGCTTTACCGGGAGCCACACCCCCACGTGGCCACTCATGTGACGGCTGTCCTTCACATCATCAGTCAAGCCCGTCGACAGAGGTACTGGCTGGAAGCGGTAGGCAGGGGCTCGAGGTGTGCATCTGATTTTATCTTTGGGTCAGTGTTTATGTATTGCTTTTGAAATAATACTTTAAAATTTTTTTTTAGACAAGTATCTTTTCTAGTTTAGTTTTTCTAGGTAGCGTGCCATGGATGTCAAGACTAAGCTTCTCAAAAACTAATCAAAAGGTTAATATTTTTTTAATTTGAAATTATGGACTGATGGTTGGTGGTGGCCAGTGGCAGCATACACCTTTAATCCCAGCACTCAGGAGGTAGAGGCGGGCGGATCTCTATAAACTCAGGACCAGAGCGGTCTACAGAGTGAGTTCCAGGACAGCCAGGGCTACATGGTGAAACCCTGCCTTAAAGAACAAAAAGTACGTGTGTGTGTGTGTGTGTGTGTGTCGGGGGGTAGGGGATCAGCAAGTTGCCTTATTGGGTAAAGGTGTTTGCTACCAAACCTGACAACCTGAGTTCATCCCCAGGACCATCTGAAAACTGACTTCTGTGACCACAGGTACGCAGTGGCTCCCTCTGACCACCCCCCAAATAATGTAATAATATAATAAATATTTGACCCCCCCCCATAATGTAATAAAAATTTTAGTTACGAAAGAAATAGGAAGTTGGCAGCAGCGGGCACACGTCTTGATCCCAGCACTCAGGAAGCAGAGGCAGACAGATCTCTGTGAGTTCGAAGCCAGATTAGTTTACAGAGAGAGTTCCAAGACACCTGGGCCTACGCAGAGAAGTGCTATCTCAAAACAAACAAACGAACGCAAAGATAGAGGAAAAAACAAACAAACAGGCAAGGTGGCTGCCTTAGAGAAATGGCTCAATGGTTAAGAGCTCTTGATGCTCTGCAAGACGATCTGGGTTCAGTTCCCAGCACCCACACCAAAGAGCTCACAACTGCCTGCATCCCTAGCCCTGGAGGCTCCAGCACCTTCTGGCTTCTGTGGCACCTTTACACAGGTGCATGTGTATACACATATGTACAGACACATATAAATTTTCAAAAATGTGTTAAAAAGGAGTCAAGTCGTTGGTAGAGTACTTGCCTAACGTATGAGGCCATGGGTTGTGTCCCCAGTACTGGGAGGAGAGGGGAGGGAGGGAAAAGGGGAAAGTCTAGCAAAAAGGACTTCTCTATCCATAGTGAATGCATATTTGGCAGTTTACTGGGTCAATAAGTTTATACCTAGTTAGATGGGAATAAATAATTATTTTCTACCTGTAGCAGCAATTTTGCCAGCTGAATGAACACAGCCAGGCACTGCTGTGTTTGGTCTGTATAATTCCACTTACAGAAATCTCCAATATGGATAAGACCAGGAGGTTTTCCTGGGGAGCAGGAGTGTGGACTAGCAGGGAGATCAACCAGGGCTGCCTTGGGGCCGGTCATGTTGCAGGTGAGGATCACATGAGTGTTTACTGCAGGAGCGTTGTAAAGCCGGGTTTTGGGTCCAACTCTGTCGTGTGCCTGGTTCAGCACAAAGTTTGTTTGTGATAAATACCAGGACCCTGGCCATTGGCCTCTTACCTGGAAGTCAGAGCCAAGGTCTTTGGACAGCATGATCTCCTTAGCCGGCCCCTGGGACCCCAAGGAGGGCAGCGCGGGGAAGGACTCAGGCTGCTCCTTGCCAGAGCTCCCCAAAGCCACATCCGCCTTTCGGGTGAAGGCGTTCAGTTCCTGCTGCAACACACTCAGGCGCACCAGGATGGCATGGATGAGCTTGGCATCCCTGGGGCCCTCGCTGTTGTCAGGCGCCTCATGCAACCGTAAGTCTGTACACTCGTTGTCCAGGCACAGCCGGAGGCCGACTGAGAAGCCATTGGCATCAGCCACCAGGACGTCGATGGCCTTGCTGACCAGCGCGGCCTGCTCCCGCAGCCCAGGCAGCGCCTCGGCCTCGCGGGCCCTGCAGAGCCTGGCGGCGTGGGGCTCCAGCGTCTCGCCCAGAGGGGCAGGCACGCACTGCGCGGAGTCCCCGGCCTCGGCATCCGTCTCCAGCATGGGGCGCGTGCTCTGGCAGGAGGCCAGGTCACAGCGCTGCAGGTTGGAGAGCAGCACGCGGTTCTCGTACTGCAGCTTCTTGACCTTGCCGCTCAGCTCTCCGATCTGCAGCTTGGCAGCTGCCAGCTCCTCCTGGGAGGGCTCGCTGAGTACCGAGCAGCTGTCCTCGGACAGCGTCACGTCCAGCTCATGCTCGGAGCGGTACTTGGCCAGCTCGTTCAGCAGCAACTTGTTCTGGTCCTCCAACTCTGCGGAGGAGCGCCGCAGCAGCTCAGCCTCCTCCTCGACGAACTGCAGGTGGCGCCGCAGCTCGGCTAGGCTCTCTCCGCACTCACCACCCAGGGAAGAGAAGGCCAGCCTGGCCTCGGGACCCCCGCCGCCCCCGTGGTCCTTCATGTCGTCCATCTCTGCCCGCAGGCCCCGGTTCTCCACCTCCAGCTCCACGATCCTCCGGCTCAGCAGGTTGGCCTCCTCCTCCACCAGCTTCAGGTGCACCTTCAGCTCGGTCTCACGGGAGTGCGGAGCGTCCGCCAGCTCCTCCGCCGACAGGGCTGCATCCAGATCCCCATAGAGCGAGCGGTACTTGAGAAGCTCCTCCTTCATGCTGTCGTTCTCCTTGGCCAGCTTCGTGAGCTTCTTGCACATGAGGGCCGACTCTTCTTTTGCAAAATGCAGCTGGCACTTCAGGTCAGCGCTGTCCTCCTGCGGCCCAGTGGGCACCGAGACAGCAACAAGCAAGATTAGTGTCAGTTGGGCCCAGCCACAGTATTCTGGGGTGCACTGACTGTCAGAGAACCCAGGGGTGAATCAGCTTGGCTCTCGAGCCCTGGAGGCCACAGGACGGAGAGCAGGGGCATTGAGAGGCCAGGACACACTACCTACAGTCTGGGAGTCTGGGAGCAGGTGACATTCTGACATCTGACTATGGCCATTCCTTGCTAGAGTTGCCCCCTCTGAAAAAGTGGTCTCCAGAAACTCTGGTTTCCAACACGATGACTGTTAAATGGGGAAATGTACAAAAAAAGTGGTGGCACCCTGGCTGCTCACAGGATTCTGTGCCTGGACTGTGGGAAAAACAAAACAAAGCACCAACGGGGTGCTTTTATCTAATTCTTACAACAAACCCAAACACTAGGCACAGATGAGGAAACAATACCAGAAAGTTGAAGTGAGCCTCCTCAGTAAGGGGGCAATCAAGCGGCAGAGTCCAAGTTCAAGGTCTCTGACTCTATTTCATCTTGGGTTTATCTGTCCCTATGTTGGATAAGCACCTTGTGGGTCCAGGAGTGTCTAAGCATGAGTTCAGAGCGGGCTTGGAGGGAGTAAAATGCGGAGTGAAGTCGAGAAGAAAGGGGAAGAAATGGGGGGGGGGAACAGGAGAGACCCTAGAAAGAGATGGGACCTGGATGACTACCCAGGACACCTAACATCGGTTTGGGCCTCCAAACTACAAACTGTAGCGTGGGGGGGGGGGGATCTGAGGACGAACCTGCGCAGTAGGCTTCTTGTCGGTCTTCCCAAGAGATCGGGCTCCTCTTTTCTTCAAGGAATGCTGAAGGAAAAGAAGAAAGCAAACAGAAAAAAAATCACAAAGATGGTGCACACCCAAAGAGGCCTCACAGGGCGGAGACAGCGAGGGTCCCAGCTCAGCCTGTGTGTGTTAACCCAAGCCTGAGCCAGGGACGGCTGAGTGCATCGCATGGGGGATACGGACCAGAAGGACTGAAGGAAATAGCTAAATACCCCCAACCCCCGCCCAGGGCTGCTCCGCACTGCACCCACGCTGGACATTGTGATCCTGTTGACTGGAAATTGGAATTTGTGCTCTTGCTCTTGTTCACCTTTTTGTTGTTTTGGGCCCCCCCCCCATTATAATTACATAATTTTCTCCCTTCGCTTTCTTCCCTCCAACCCTTCTCACGTACCCCTTCCTCCTGTTCTTCAAATTCGTGGCCTCTTTCTTTAGGTGTTGCAACATATGTGTGTATGTTCCTAAACATATAAATACAACCTGCTCACCCCAGATGTCACTTGTATGTACGTTTTCATGGCTGATGCTTGCCTCTCATCCACTCATCAGAGATTTCCTGAGCACACCTCAGGGTGTAGAGAATACAGCAGGGAAGTAGACAAACGAGATGCCAAAAGCATGCTGTGACACCCTGCCTCAGACCTGAGATCCCATTTCCCCGGGGAACACCTCCAGGCTGAGAACCATTCTCAGTGGCGCTCACTGGCTAAGGATGGACACACCCCCAAACACTAGCCCAGGCCCCCTTGACTCCACCCCAAAAAAGCCACTAGCTCCAACTGAGGCCATCTAGGTGATGTGATTCCGTTTCTGCCTCTGCCTCGCTCCCTAACAGTGTCACAGCCAAACGGGTTCTTCCCTAAATCTCCCTCTCACAGGAAGTGACATTTCATAGGACTCTGAACACAGAATGAATACTAATGAACAAAATATGGGTACAAAACTAGAAGCAGTTCAGAAATGATGGTGGGAGACTAAGAGTGGACAAGGATTCAGAAACGCTGAAGCACTGGAGGTAGGGGAGTCAATACATTTGATTACCCAGGCAAAAACTGCATGGATAAAAACAAAACAAAGGAGAGCAAACCATCCTGAACAGCAAAGCAGTAGAGCCCTGGCCTGATGTGTTCAAAGCCCTGGGTCCATCCCCAGAAACTCAGGCCCAGGATGGCAGGAGAATCATAAATTCAAGGCCTGACTGTGCAACAGATAAAGAGCTTGTCTCATAGTAAAGGCAAAAGAATGACTAGGGGACACAGGTAAGTTGTAGAGAGCTTGCCCAGTCTTCACAAGACTCTAGGTTCTAGCCTCGGTACAGAGAAGAAGAGAGAAGGTTTACAGAAGGAAGACAAATAGATCTTAACCCTGGGGAAACGCGTGGCCCCACTCAGGATGGAGAGCCCCAAAGGAAAAGTTATGCCGGGCGGCTGCTTCTCACTGATCAGAGTGGCGAAACCAGAGCCATCTAACAGTACATCCTATTGCTGAGGCTCCGGCTAAACAAGGAGGTTCATTTATTGCTGGCAGGAGCGCAAAACGGCACAAGCCCCACGGTGGGGAAGGAGAGGAAATGCTACAATGATCCGCGCTTAAGTTTCTTGTTGTTTAAAAGAGTCATTCAATTAGACGCATGATTCCATTGAACACTTCCTCCCGAGAGAGGGAGGATTCATGCCAGGAGCTTTTGCAGCCACGTTTAGGTTGTCCTCAACTTTAGGAGTTGAGCTGCCCACTTGAATTTCTGAAAATGCTCCCCAGCGACTTTAGATAAATGCTCACCCCCAACCCTCAGCTCTTGTTCCCCATCACTGTAGGCAAGCCACTGACACAATTTTAAACAAACAAGGCTTGTTTTACGTTTATGGGTGTTTTGCCTGCATGCATCTCCGTGTGGCACATTTGCACAGTACCCGTGAAAGCCAAAGGAGGGCACTGGATCTCCTGGAACTGAGGTTACAGATGGCTGTGTGCTGCTGGGAACGGAACCTGTATCCCTCTGGAAGAGCAGCTAGGGCTCTTAACTGCTGGGCCATCTCTCCAGCCCTGAAAGCCCAGTTTTACTGAAACTGAGATGGGGACTTGACCAGAGTTCTAGGGCAGATATTAGGTTAGAAGAGAGCAACTCTTGACGTAGCTCTTAACTGAGTTGCAAAGACTTGGTAGGAGAAAACGTGTCTTTGAGGAGGGCTAGCACGGAGCTAGCACGGCGGCTTTCAACCCACGTGCCCAGGAGAACTTCCTGGGGAGGTTAAGAAAACACCTCACCAGGCAACACCTCAAAGGTTCCGGAATAATGGGCCTGGGCTATGTCTCGGCCATCGAGGTTTAAAGCAGCTTCCCAGGGAAGCAAGTTAGTCCTATCCTGTAGTGTGTCTACATGTGTGTGCACGCACACACATGCACATGTATGTGCGGGCTCATGCACAAATGCACATGTGTGCATACATTTTCCTGCATGTGGAGACCAGAGGACAACCTCAGGGGTGTTCAGAAGCTCTCCATCATTTTATCGCCATCATTTTTTTATCTTCTCTGAGACAAGGTTGCTCATTTGCCTGGAGCTCACCAATGATGGCTGCTAGAGAGCCACAGGGTTCCTTCCTGAGTCTGGTGGTGTGTGTTGTTTTGTTGTTTGTTTGTTTTGTTTGGCTTTGGCTGTCCTGGAACTCACTCTGTAGACCTGGCTGTATTAAAGGCGTGCACCGCCACTGTACAGACGAGTCTAGTGTTTTTACATCTTATCGGCCCACTCTGAGTCTATCTTAAAACCTAATCAGGAAAAGTTTTGTCACACTACAGGCACATAGCATCAGGTTCCATTTCCACAAAATGTCCAGGCCAGGCAAATTCTCAAAGACGGAAAATATTAATGGTGTCCCAGAGCTGGGGGAGGGAGGGAATACAGAGTGACTGCTAATAGGTGTGAATTTGGTTTATTATTTTTTCAAGAGCGTAACAAAAAGGCCCTGGAATTAGAAAGTACGGGTGGACACACAACTAATTGTGTGGGTTTAAAAGAGCAAACTTGGGCTAGGAAGGTAGCTCAATAGTAGAGCATATGGCTGGCATACACTCAGTTCCCAGCACTGCAAATAAAAAGGGGGAAGGTAGACTTAACAGAATGTGAATTACATCTCAATAGAATGTTACTGAAAACCTGAAACTGAATAGCTGAGCAGAGTGGCACACATCTGTAATTCTAGCACTTGGGAACAGAAGCCAGAAAGATGATGCAAGTTCAAGGCCAGCCTGTCTGCAGGGCAAGTTCAGGCCAGCTGGTGTACAGTGGGTTCTAGGTGAGCCTGGACCACATAGCAAGCCCTATCGAAAAACAAAACAAGAACACTCAAATAGCATATAAAAATGCAGCCTTGTTACAAAGCAGAAGTTGTCGCTGGACAATGGTGGTGGCATATGCCTTTAATGCCAGCACTCAGGCGGCAGAGGCAGGTGGATCTCTGTGAGTTCGAGGCCAGCCTGATCTACCGAGCCAGTTCGAGGACAGCCGGGAAACACAGAGAAACCCTGTCCAAAAACAAACAAAAAGTAGACAAAGCCAAGGCCCCCTTTCATGCTGTCCCCATCTTCCTCCCCTCCCTGCAGGATCTTTGCCTACTGGTGCCTCTGGAGCTCTTTCCAGACCTTTGGCCCTGTGTTTAAGACTGAAATAGATAGTGCTGTTTGGGACTTTCTTTCCTTCCTGTGCTTATTTGATTCTGTGATTTTTATAATAAGCACTTCGGAGCAAAGAAAACCCAAAAGCATTCGGCATATTAAAAGGCTTGTCTATACCCATGCAACATGATCCTGTACCTTACAGAAACCACATATGCAACCTAAGCCCACCCTTATTTATTTTTTAAAGACATAGAAAGACACGTTAGACGCAGAGAAAGACCTAGAAAAACACAAAGCAAACTGATAATCCCAGGTTAGGCAGATGAGAAGGGAGTGTCTGGGTAAGGCTTTCATTATTTTGTATATTTTTATACTAGCTCTGTCATTCTGAATAGATGCCACGGTCACGTGGTGAAAATTCAAAGAGCACAAAAAAACGAACAGAGGGAAGCAGAGAGTCCCTAGTTTCCTGCCCTGGGGGTTGGCAGCGTAGCCGGAGCTTGCTGGAACCTTCCTCAGAGTTGTGCCAGGTATGCATTTGTGTGCTTCTGGAAAGGGGTTTTTGCCTCATTAAGTTTATATTGCATACTTAAGTTTAAAGAAGCATGTACACATATACATAAAAAATAATGTGCACCTATATGCAGAAAATCCTATCGGAAGTGTCTATTCACCTCTCAAACAGGTGAATCCCAAGTACTGGATGGCAAGAACCTTGAAAGGTTTCTCCTTGGGGCTTAGGGCATCCTTTAACTTCTGTGGGTCTGTTGTGGGTAGGGAAGTGCCTAGTGTTTTTCATTTCTGATGTAGTTTTCTGGGAAGCCATGGCACACCTTTCTAGCAGGCGGGCTGAGCGGCTGCACCCTCACAGAATGGAGGCAGGCAGAGAGCACAAAGCCATGCCTGGGGTGGGGGCCGACACTAAGGTGGCTCCAGTCATTCTGTCTTGGACTGGACCTTCTCCCAACCCATGGAAGCCACCTGAGCTCCTACAATGACCTGAGCTTGGGAGGGAAACCAAGGCAGGTTCTGAAAGCACAAGGACCACCCTCCCCTCTGATGAATGGCAGCTGGCCAGGCAGGGGGTGACGCTGCCTTTCCCCTCAAGGGAGCCAAGGTCTGTCAGAGCCCCTTTGTTCTGCCTCTGGGACTCTGGAGGGCAGAGCACAAGGTCCAGGAAGACCCAGTCCAGAGGCACACTACCTAGTCCTCACAAAGCCACTAGGAGTGGTCTGGGTGGCACCCCTGAGCAGCTCCGGCCAACCCTTCCCAGCCAGAGCCTGACTCTGCCTTCCCCAGAAACCACAGAATCCTAACGCCAAGAGAGAGCTGCCTAAACACCTGCCTCGGGGGGTCTCGGTCTCCAACAGCTTCTGTGCTTCCTTGCCTCTGACTCACCAAAC